AGCTCGGGGCTGACAGCGCTGACAGCAGCAACTTCGCCGTTTCTGCCGGAGAACAGGTTTGGAGGGGCTGGGTGTTTACCCCAGAGCCAGCCGGAGCCAGGGCTGCAGCGGGGCCGAGCAGGCGCAGGAACATTGGGTCAGGGGTGAGAGGTGTGATGTTTGGTTTTCTGCCGGTGGAGAATGCGAGCTATTCCGGCCTGGGTTGTTTAATTTGCAGTCAAACGTGTTTCTTTATCCGGCTCCAAAGAGGCTTGTGGAAGGACCCACCCAGGGTAGTGTTTACCCTTTGTTCTTTCCCTGGGGCCAACCTTGAATCCTTATCAGCCTGTTTGGAGTAAACAGGTACTGGAGGCAGGAGGAAGGGTGTGGAGGATGCTTGTGGGGTTTCTCCCTCTCTCCCTCCCGCTGGCGAGAGGTGTTTACCCAAGCAGACCTGTTTTGTTTCGGAGTTGAGGTTTGTTATTTTTCTTCTCCTCTTTTTTCTTCCCTCCCCATCCGACTGAACACTCCGGAAAAGCTGAGCAGGCCATGAGAAACAAACCCACGTGCTCAGGTCTGGAGCTGGACACAGGCACATGCCCAAGGCCCAGCAGCAGCCACGGGGGCTCTGCTTGGGGTGCATGGAGCCAAGAGCACCCACCCCGACCACAGCTCCTCCCAGGAGCTGGGCAGCCCCAAACCAGACCTCGTGCAGGAATTTTCTGGGCTTTGAGCAGCAACATCCAGCTTTGCCAGCACTGTCAGCACCTGCAGCTGTTTTTGTCCCTGAACGTGCTGGGAATCCCCAAGGAAATATGTGGAGAATGCGAGAACCCAGGGAGGAAGGGACCCACCTGCCTGCCCACAGCGAGCTCCAGCACTCCCAGACCCAGTGGGAATTGCTTGGCTGGATGCAGCCCAGGTGCAGCGTTACCTGTTGCAGCATTATCGCCTGCTGCTGCTGCAGGAGGGCCTGGAGCTGGGGCGGAGAGAGGATCTGCTGCATCTGCTGCGGCGTGATCATCTGGGGGGACATCATGGCCACGGACACGGGCACCTGGGAGAGCAAGGACACGTCACCACTCCCCATTCCAACCCTGGCAAACCCTCCCCAAGTGCCAACAGCCTACAGGTGCCTCCCACCTCTCCTGGAACATCTTTCACGCCCCCCCAATCCCTGCCTCACCTTCAGGTGAAGCCCTTGGCCCCTGGTCCATCCTGGCACGCCAAGGCTACTGCCAGGACATGGCAATGGCAGGGAGGTGCCCCGTGGTGCAGCTGGCACTGGGGTGAAGCTTCCTAAACCGTGAGCTCCCCCACCCTGAGGGCAGGGTGCTCTTCTTTAAATGCAGTTGAGATGGGGGAACTGGGCATCAAACCACAGCTGCTTCCCTTGAGGTGCCGGAGCATGCAGGGCAGAGGGAAACACAAGGGAAGTGGGAAGATACTGATCACCCAAATAACTCTGCAAAGCAGAGCACGGAGGAAGAGGTTACCAGGTTCTCCACAGACACATCAAAGCTTTACCTCCAGCTGACACCGGTAACCCACGTAATTACCATGCCAAGAGGAGGGAGGGCTGAGAGAACCTGCCAGCCCCTGCCTTTGGTTATCAAAATATGGGTCCACACCCCCAGCAGTGCTCCAGAGAAGGTGTCAGTGATGGATTCCAGCCCTACTGGGTCCTGCCCAGGTGGAGCAATGATGCCTTCCCAACCACAGCCATCGAGAGCTGCCTCGTCCCAGTCTTCCACTGATCCCACCAGCCCAAAGCCTTTCCCAAAGCTTTGGGCAAAGTTATGGCTTTGCTGCAATTTAATAATCCTTCCTGGGTGCCCCCCTTTTCCTTGGAAAGCAGATGGCTGCTGCCTCCCCCTCCAGCCAGCCCAGTGGGATGGGACCACAGGGTAGCCCCGTGCAGTCCCTCCCACCCGTGGTGGGTGTTGGGAGCGCTCTGACCTTCAAGGGAGGCTGCCAAGGCTTATCTATTTACTCAGGCATTCTGCTGGAGGGAGGTGTGGGACACGGGTCGAGCTCCATTTGTGATCCCCCCTCCAGCCGCCCCCATGTCGCAGTTATTGATTAATTGCTGCGAGTTCCCACCCAAGGGCTGGGGCTGCTCCCACTGCTCCGGCCGTGGAGGGCTCGGAGGCTGGGGAGCATCCTCAGGGATGAGCCACAGCGCCCTGGAAAGGCTCCAGCACCCACCAGAGAGCCCCAAGAGCCCCCCACAGCAGCAGCAGCAGGGAAGGGCTGCTGTTTGGGTGCTCAGGTGCTCCCAGCCAGCTGTGCAAAGCCCTCGGCGAACATCTGGGAAGGAGGGGAGCCGGCGAGGAGGGCGAGACGGGCGGGGTGTGCGCCCGCTCCCGGGAGCTGAGCATCCTGCTAATTTCCCTTTGCCAATTCATCAGCTGGCAACGTGCTCGGAATGAGAGCCCCTAATTAATTGCTCATCCGCATCCCCCACCCGGGCGGGCTCCCCGCCCCCACCGCGCGGCCCCTCCAACACGTTTGCTGGCATTTTCAAATCGGAGGCATCCTAATTACCGGAGAGTTATAACACCTTCCATTTCTCGCCCAGCGGACTGACACCCTGTCAAGAGCAAAGAGAATTGCCAGAGGTTTTGACAACACTAATTGCCCCTATAATCTAAAAACACAAAGGAGAGGCGATTAGTCGAGAGGGCCCCAGCTCTCGATCCGACACGAGGTTTTCACAATGTTACAAGAAAACAAAAGTGACGCTTTTTAGAGTTTGATGGCTGCTAACAAAAGCAGAATTATATTTTCATACAACCTTTGTCTGCATTAAATGGCTTTTTCTTCCGTGCTCGGATGCGGAGCTGACACGGGGAAATGGTGGTGCCTTCGTGCGGGGCTGAGGTGGGAACGGGGCGAACCGGTGCTGCTGTTTGTGAGAGTCATCCGGGCTCTGCTGCCTCCTCGAGCCCCAGGGGATGCCAAAGCCACATGAAGAATTTCCCCACAGCATGGAAAACATCCCTCTCCCAGTGAAGGTTTCCAGGGAGAGCAGGAACTTTTTTTAGTAAAAGGGGAAATTCCCACTTACAGCCAGTTTTGCTCCCACTGCAGCCACTCATCCCAGACACCCCTGTTGGGAGGTGACAGCTGCTGCCCTGGCAAAACAAGAGGGGGATGGAAACGTCCATCCCAACCTGGCCAAACGCCCCATGGGGGCACCCACAGGCAGCTGATCTGCCAGTGGGGAGGGTGAGGGCACAGTGTGGCCCTGGGACACCCCTTCACCTGCAGCCACGGCACTCGGTGACCACCGGTGTGCCAGATTCCCCACGGCAGGAACGGAGGCCAGCCTGGCATCCCTGGAGAACGGGGGGCTCTGGGCAACAATCACCTCAAAAGCTGAGACCCAGACAGACAGAGTGGTCAACAAGGCGAGCGAGAGCCAAAGGGCACCGGGGGTGGTACGAGGGGTGAGTGTCACCCAGCTGCCTCCTCCACACCCCCTCCACCCCCGGGCACCGGAGCAGCCGGGGAATGTCCTCACAGCCGGCACATCCCTCGGGAAGCAGGTCCCAGCAGCGGCTGGTCCCCGGCCGACGCGTCACGAGCTGGCATCTGCCAGACACCGAGTCAGGAAGGGTTTGACTCACGCCTTGGCCGGCTGCCACTCCGCAGAACTGCTTACTAACAGCTCCGGCTGCTCCCAGAAACACCCGGCGCTGCTCCGGCCGGCCAGCGGCATCTCCGGGGGTGATTTTCCAGGCGGTCCCGGTCGTAATCCCTGCGTGCCAGAGGACGGGCGGGCACGGATCAGCAGGCAGTGGGTGGAAAACGAGGCAGGTATTCCAGGGAGGCTCGGCGGGAGCCTGGAGCAGCGCTGCCAAAGCCGGCTGAGGGAACCAGGATTTGGTTGGGTGGAACGCAGCAGGAGAGGGAGCGAGGCTCTTAAGGGAAATTTTTCTTGGATTTTTTTTTTTATGGGAAGCAGACTGAACTCCCAGGCACGAGGCAGAGCAGGGAAAGCCACGGCCCGACAGCTGCTCCTGGCTCTCAGCACGGCGGGGCTGCCAGAGGGACAGTGCCCTCCTGACCCCAGGGACAGCTGGCTTGGCACGGCGTGGGGACATCCTCCGTCAGCCCGCGGTTTGCTCAGCCTCAAAGCATCCCTGCTCCGACCATCACCTCCCAGCTGTGCCGTCACCCACGCCAGGAGGTCACCACAGGAGCCACGATGTCCCCAGGGAGCCGGGGGCAGCACGTCACCAGTGCTACGGGAAGGAGCATCTCCTGGTCCACACCTAAACCACACCTAAACCACACAGCCCAGCTCCCTCGCCAGGGCAGGCACAGCCCAGACCTCGTCCCCAAGCCCTGCTGACCTGAGGAGGGCTCTGGGACCACCAGGATGAACACACCTCTCCCTGTGCACAGCAGCTGCCTGGAGTGTTCCGGGCTTCCCACGGAGCCCAAGGCTGCACATCCTCACTATGATCTAATCTTGGAGTTTAAGTCCCCATTAGAAACAACAGAAAACATGTTTGTGCTCTTTTTTCCTAATTTTAAACACCCTTTTCAAATCCAAACCCAACAGAAACAAACCGAGGCGGTCGCGAATAGAAGGGGGGAAACAAACACCAGGAGCAGCTTCGAGTTCTGCTGTTTCAGGGGCAGGGGGTGAGCAAATCCCCACCCCAGAGCACCCACTTCTCACAGGAGAAGAGCAAACCAAATCCTCCAGGCACATCCAGGCGTCCTCTCCTGCACTCTCGTCCCTGGGAGAGCTCCAACATCCAGCTGGCTCAGACCGTCTGCGAGAGCTCCGAGCGCCCGGGGCCAGGCACTGATGCCACTGACACCAGTGTGACCCCAGCCATGGTCTATAAACCCTGAGGGTGGCACAGGGCCACCCAAACATTGCTCTGCCATCCCTCCACTCAGGAGGACACACCACACTGTGTCTGAACCTCACCAGGGCGGGACAGAGACAACGGACTAAAATCTACCCGGGGTCAGAGGGGAAACTGAGCTCAGCTCCATGTGGTTTTGAGGCTGTGGTTTGTTTTTTATGAACCCTCTGAACAGCCTCAGCACCAAAGGACTGATTGCCCTCGGTGGGGGTGGCAGCAGGAGGGCAAGGGAACAGGAACCAGCGTAGAGGACACCAGGCTCTGATGTTCAGCTCCATGTAAAGAAAAGGAGGAATCAATCCCTAGCGTGTTCAGCCCAACGTGCATCCTCATTAGTGCATCCTCGTTAGCATGGTGTTCCCACCAGGGAGGCACTAATGGCACGTGGCTGGGCTCCAGGAAGCTGGAAGGAGCTGGCTGGGGATACTGGCAGCAGAGGTGACAGTGCTGGAGTGCCCACAGCCCCCTCCTCGGTGAGCCCCTGCCCTCAGCATCACCCAGGCAGTGTCCCTGCGGGGACACCACGGGCACGGGGTGCTGGCACAGCTCATCACACTGACCAGTCTACAGGGACTGAAGTGACTTTGCTCCTCTGTTTATCCAAAATGCCAATCCCAGAGCAGGATGGTGGGGGGGGCTCCGGGAAGGAGGAGTGGGAGCAGGGACAGACAGTGATGCTGCAAGTTCAAATGGAAAAGCCTAACGCCGCGCGAGCCGAGACGGACGGGCTGCTGGGTCTGCTCCTGGAGAGGGAACGCAGAAGGGCTGCTATTGATCTGTCTTCATTACCCATTTCACTCAAGTTTCAAATCAACAAAATACACTTTTCCGCTCCGCTGCCCTCCCCGCGCAGCAGACAAAAGAAAAGCAATTTCCCGCAGTTTGCTCCAAACTCCTCTCCCTTCCCCTGGTGCCCTTCAGCCCTTCTCCCCTTTCAGCGAGGGGAGACCCCCCAGCTCCAAGGGCTGAGCCAGGGAGGGACCCCAAAGAGGTCACCCCATGATTCCAAGGAGTCTCCAAGCCAGCACTGAGAACACGGGTGCTGCCTTTCCAGCACTTCATTCCACTTCCCAGACCCCAGATCCCAGCAAGATCCCAGGGGGATACATTGCTTCCACCAGCCCCATGCAGGATGGGAACACCCTGCAGTCCATCAGCACCAAAAGTCCTCAAATGCAACACTCTGTCAGCACCCACCAAGTTTCCAAGAGTTTTAAAGTTGCAGAGAAATAAAACCATTTTTACATATTTTAAAACACCCAAAGGTGGAGGGTTTTTTGCCTTTTTTTTAGCTGCAGCTGTAACTCGAGTGTCAGCGTGAAGCTCTCCACACACACCTCCAGGCATCTGGGGAGAGAGGGTCCATACTCCAAAACAAACCAACTCCAGGATGCTCCGGAGCCCAGCAGCTCCCTGGTTGTTTTTAAGTGCACGCCATCGGGAATGTCATTAATATTCCCACTGGCTTGGTGCCCCGAAAACGTCCCGTCCCCATCAGGGGGTGACAGGGAGAGTGCACAGTGTGGGCAAGCATGGGGGGTCTGTGGTGCTGCTGGCTGTGGGGGCTCCTGCTCTCTCTGCCAGCACCGGGACCCTCCTGCTCCCTCCCCCTGGGATCGGGGACCAGGAGCTGGCTGGCACAGAGCTGAGGGGAGGCCATGGACACAACTTCTACCCCCTCCCCAAAATACCCAACTGTGTGAAAATCCATTCCCCAGCCTGCACATCCACAGGCAAAGCCCGTGGGACCCCAGGCTGGCACCCCAAGGACACCCCAGTTCCCAAACACTTCCATGACCCTCCCATCCTGCCGCACTCCCTGCTCCCTCCCCAGCCGGGGGCTGCTGCGCTGGGTCCCAGCCTTCCTCCTCCTCCTCCTCCCACCGTCCTGGCCAGTCTCATCCACACCACTCTGCCGTTAGATAAACTTCCTTTCAAAGGAGTCTGCTTAATCCTCTATCTCCCCTCGGTCAGATCCCGCTCCAGCTGCCGGCGGGGCCGCGGGGGGAGGAAGAGCCGGTCGCTGCTGAGTTATGAGCTATTTCTGACTCACGTCTACAACTTTCACAAGTCCTTTTGCAACACAGAAAGGGAGGAGGGGAGAGGAAGGAGATCCAGTTCGCTCCGGCGAAGCCGCTGGCCAGATGGGCAGGGAGGGGAGGCTGGAGAGCAGCAGGGAAGGGGAGGACGGGATGTCCAAGCAGCAGCACGTGTATCCAGCCGGGAACACGGTGGGGAGAGCACCGAGGGATAGGCAGGAGCAGTGCAGGGACACACACCCACGGAGGGGAGCAAGGCGCCAGTTACCGGAATCTGACTTCACCCTCGCTGCCTTTGTCCTCTGCAGACATTTTCCATGCAGTGACTGCATTTCCTTCCTGCAAGCACCGCTGGAAAAAGCCGCCTGTTTGTGCCGCAGGAGCCCTGACTAATTCCCACTGCTCGTACCCAGCTGCTGCTTCCCAACCCGGAGGGGCAGCCGGGGGTCCCGGGCTGCCCTGACCCCTGGGAGCCCCAGGACCTGCTGCCAGCTGGCTCAGCCGTGCCCTGGCTCTCAAGTTGGGAGAGGAGCTCGGGATTGCCCATCCCAGCCCGGCTCCTGCTGCCCTCCCACTGCCACACGGCTCAGCCTGGCACAGGCAGGACCTCCAGCTCCGAGAGCGCTTGTGCTAATTACTTTCCTTTGTTAATTAAACCCACGTGGCTCTAATAAGGTAACCTGCTGTTCTCCGATAAATTTAATTAGCCTGAAGGGAGAGCCCCTCCACACAGCTATTTAAATTGTCACTTTCCATCGCTTGGGCTTTGCTTCTTCCTGCCTCCTCCTCTCTCCAGATTTCACCCCTCTTCTGCTCCTTCTCTTCCCATTTTCAGCCCCTTTCCTTTGGCAGAGCAGTGGAGCAAAGGGGTGGTCCCCCCATCCCTGTACCCACCCAAAGCCCCGGTTCCCTGCCAGTGCTACAAATCCCACCTCAACCAGGTAGCTCCCAGCAGCTGTCCCACGTGGGAGGACTTGCCCTGGCTCCAGCCCCTGTGCCACACTCACTGCACCCAGCATTGAACCCTGGGAAACTCTGTGCCTCCCAATCTGAAATGTGTCCCATGGTAAGGTGGCACATGGTCACCTTCCCCCCACACACACACTCCTTTCTCCTCTGGAGCCAACCCTTCCCTGGCATCCCCCTTTCCCACCACATCAGCACAAAATGGGGACCACCCCCATCCCCCCAGAAAAAAAAAACTCCCAAGAAATTTCAGGAACTTTACAGAGGATTTAACTCCCTGTGTGCTCCAGCCATCCCGACCAGGGAGGTGACCCATGGCCTGTCCCACTCCTGCAGCCGAGCCCTTCCCACCCAGGGGTGACAGGGGACACGTGCTGGGGGCTCACCTGCACTGCTGGCTGCTTGCCCTCGTTGCTGCTGGGGGAGCTCAGCCCCGTGGCCTGCTGCAGCAGGAACTGGCGTGCCACCTGGAGAGCCTGCAAGAGAGACACAGCACCGTGGGCAGGAGGAAGGCTGCCCTCTTCCTCCTCCTCCTCCTCCTCTGGGCACACTCCCCCTCCAGCTCTGGTTCTCCATGGCTTTGATTCACGGGGTGTGAGGGATGCACGAGGAGGGCAGCGTTCCCTGCCACACCAGTATGACCAGTACACACCATTACAGACCACCTATTCCTACCCCCCAGAGCCATGGAAGGCCAGGGGAAGCTGGGAGCAACTCCATCCTCGTCCAGAACCCCCTGCCCCATCTTTAGCAGTCACCAGGTCCAGCAGCCCCGTGCCACTGGCAGACTGTCCCCAGGGTCATTCCCAGACTCCAGCCCTGGCACAGGTGTCCCCTGGCCAGGCACAACCAGTACCTGACCAAAGCTCCAGCTCCTGCCTGGTTTATTCCACCCTTGCACGGAGCCACCACCACAGTTCTGCTGCCACTGATGTCCCTCGTGTCTAAAGCACTGTGAATATTTAATTTTACATCTGATTGTTACATTGGAGCACCAGAAAGTTCCAGCCACCACCCAGACTTGGGTGAGGCCAAGTGCAGGATCACACCCTGAATCAATCCTTGAATGTGTCTGCACAGAGTTGATGGTGATGCAGGAGATGTTCAGCAACTCCCACAAAACCTGCTTATTGCTGGGGGTGTTTGCCTAGAAAAAGTGATGGGTTTCCTTAAGCTGTTTACAGGGATGAAGGCATTTCGCTGGGAATCACACCACAGGCAAAAGAGGGAGAAACCAACATAAATCAATCAAATACACTTGTGAAACACACCCAGGCACAACTGAGCCATGCACAGCACTGTGGACAGCTGGAGAAAGCAGGGGAAATGAAGGAAAATCCTGTGAAGAGACAAGAAGGAGAGAGGAGCAAGTGTGAGCTGAGAAGGGAGCTTCACTGAGGAGCTGGGAGCCAGGAGAAGGAATAAAGCTCTGAGGAAAACAACCCGCTGCTCCCAGATCTGCTTCCCCCTTCGCTCCTTATTTCTGCTTTTAAAGAATTCTTTTCCTTCCTTCTGTTTTTTTTTGGGCACGTTTCTGAACAAGCAGGGTATTGTGGCCCTGCCTGCAGGACAGGGCTGCATTAGGGCCAGTGCAGGGGCAGAGCCCAGCAGGTCCCTGCCTGTCATCCCCCATAAATCCCTGCCCAGCTTCCAGGAGCAGCCCTGCACCCCGAGGAAGGGCTGCTTGCTAAATCCCTGTGTTTCCAGCTAAAAAGAATAAAGCCCAGCCTTGTGCACTGCCTCTCCATCCCTCCCTCCCAAACCCACTGGCACATGGAGCAGCACTGCCCATGGCACCCGAGGATGCACCTCAGCACAGAGCTCACCCCGTGACTGAAACCAAGGAGCAGCCACAGCACCCCAAGACAGGGCCACTCCTCAAATGGGGTATCCAAGAAAACTCATTCCCTGCATTTTAGGTCCCCCCCGTGCTCCTTTGCACAGGAGTTTTTGGGAAGAGCATATGAACAGATCTAAAGCAAAGGATGCCTGAGCTGTACCATGTTATTTTTTGGTGGATAAATCCACCCAACCTGCTCCATGCAGGAGGACAGGCACTACAAGAGCACTTGCAAAATGAGAGGGAATTTAAAGCTGCTGCTGAATCTGGAGGCTGAGCAAAGGGTTTAACAGATACAGTCTCACTTACATCATTAAAAAAATTATAATTTCATAGCAAGGGGCCCAAACCCAACAACTGTGCCCCAGACGCAGCACTGGGCACCCTCTGCCCTGCCTGGCTGTGTTTGTCACCATCATATGAACCAAACAGCCCCAAGAAAGTAAAAAAACAAGGAGTTCCAAAAGCAGATGGATCCTAATTTTATATTCCTATGATGAATTACCAGGGCTGCATCCCAGGATTGCCCCCAACTTGGTGTGCCCAGCACGGGAACACCCAGAGCTGCCCCACGGCCACTGAGCACCCCTGGGGGTACTCAAAAGCTACACAACCACTAACCCGCAAACTCACTTCATCCAAACAGTTAAAAACTAAAATCCTGGAGGACAAACACGGCGATTCACTGCTGGGAATCACCGATGGAACGAGCCCGTGGTCCAGCTCGCGGAGCCGCCGCAGCCCCAGCGCGTCTCTCCACGGGCACGTTACTGCCCTGTTATTAGCAGGAATAGATGTGCATCGGTAATGCGAACACAAAAACCATGTGACAGTTATGACAGCTCAAGGTCTGATATTTTAATTACTTTTTGAAATGAAAACAGTAATTCCAGTTAAAAGCCGAAGGTGGAGGAATCCAACCGGCGGCTGCTCAGTGCCGACGCGCGGCACGGCCAAGGCGCCCACCAGGATGGGTGCTGGACTGTGGCTGCACCCTGTGTCCACACACCAACTGCCTCAGCTTATCTGCTTTTCCACCTGTCCTTTAACAGAGGTTTGCACGGATTTGGTTTCTCCACGCACACCACGTGGAATTCCTGCGGTGTTTGTAAGGGCCATCTCACAGAGGTGACCCGGCGAGGCAGGTCCCTGCTCCAGCCCAGCAAAAACCAGTGCAACAGGGACAGAAGAAACAGCAAAGAGGGGAAAACCAGAAGGGACAGAATTCCAGCACCAAGTGCCACGCAGGACTTCTCCCAGAATTTCTCTTTCTAAACCCAAACAGTGGCTGGGGCCACCAAGCCCCCAGCGCCCGCCCGGCTCGGCCCCACCGCGCTGCCTCTCAGGGGGGAATTTAATTCACTCCCCGCTGGCTCTCTCACTTTGTTGTGCTCTGAAGCACGAAATTACAAGATTTAGAGGAAAAAAAATGACATGGCCTTACAATTGCACACAGGGGCCTCTCCACCAGCGCCCCAGAGCTGCCCCCTCCCTCCCTCACCACCCGGCAGCGATTCCCACTCCAGCCTAAGCTGAGCTCAGCCTGCAAACAAGGGATGAAAACCTGTTGCACGGTTGCACAAAGCACGTGGAGCACCAAGGATGGAATTTTGGGATGCAGAGCCCCTGGTTATCTGCACTTGTTGCCCTCCCAGGGCAGGAGGAGTGGCCCAGATACTGGGAGACAAAGCCTTTCCGTAGGGAGGAGCAGGGAAGGCGTCATCCACAGGCTCTCCTCGGGGCTGAGGAGATGGGAAAGCAGAAGGAAGAGTCCCCTCGTGGGAGTGGATGGGCTTTCACCTCCCAGCTCTGGGAACCAGAGAAAAAGCGATTGTTTTAAAAAAGCCCCTCTCCTGCTGCACGGTGTCATCCAGCAGTGGTTACTGTGAGACCCGTAATTGGGAACGAATGGGTTGTGTCAGCTCCTGGATGGCTCCCTTTGATCAGCAAATTATCCCATAAAAAGTTTGTAATGTCTCAGGCACATCCAGAGCTGATGTGGTTTGGCTTTGCCCTCCCCAAGAGCAGCAGCAGCAGCACATTCCAGGGCTGAGGAAGAGGAAGGTGACCCAGGCTGGGGAAGGCCCACAACTCTCTCTGGCTGTGCAGGGACATGGAACACACCAGGGATGGCAGGGAGAGATGGGAGATGCTGGAAGGTGTGTGCTGGGGTGAGGAGGGGGTCAATAAATAAACCCTGCTGGTATTAATCCTTAATTCTTCCCCCACAGGCTTGTGCTCCAGCCTGTGAGGCTCCATAAATTCACTCCTGCACATGAGGGAGGCTCCTCCAGACACCAAGAGGGGCAGATTTTGGCTGCCTTCCTCATGGCAAACACCACAAACTTCCCTTTCTCCCACAGGGAACATCAGGTCCCACTTGGTCCCAGCCCTGGAAAAGCGCAGGTTGAGGAGACAGTGGCTCCCATCCCAACCAGGATCCCACCCTACAGCCTGGATAACGTTGGATTAACCCCTCATCCCTGCCTGGTTGCCCTTTTCTCCTCAAAACCTGCCCGAGCAGAGCCTCTCCAGGGCCTCCCAATTGGGAATAAACAGGTCAAGAGGTTCAAAAAAGTTTGGAGGGGGTGGAGACATCCACAGGTCTTCCTAAAAGCACAAGCCCCAGCCTCCCAAAAAAACTCCCCAAAAACCACCCAAACAAACCCAACAAAAAAAATCATAGTACAATGGAAAATCTTGCCCAGGATATTTTAAATTCCCTTATTTACCAGGTATTTCACTTTATGATGACGGAGCCAGGAGCAGGGTCACCACCATGGAAACTGCTGCCCAAACTTAGCTGAGGGGTTTTCTACCTGGATCAAAGCTTCACATGGGGTTTTACCCCCCAACGAGTGAAAAACCACCTGAACATGACATCAGACCGAGAATTTTGTAGGGAAAGAGGACCTGTAAGAGAGTTTGTATCTTCCCTTTTCCCTCCGATTCTTTCAGAGGGTGGAAAGGGGTTGGGAAGGGACGAAAAAAACGGCAAAAAAGAAAAAGGAAGATTTTTTACACTAACCTCATAAAAATGACATCGTCACATTCCAGAATTAGAGCCGTTAAAACAACACACAGGGATATTTTTAGCTGGATATTAACAGTAAATGATGCCATATTGAGGAGCACTTCCACCAGCCCAGCCCGGCCCCGCTTAACCAGAACCAAATGACTCCAGGAGATCCAAATTAACAAAAATGACACAATTCTTCACAGGGAAATAAATAAAAAAAAAAGAAGCAGTTTTTACACCCAACTCCATGTCTGTGTCCCAGCCGCAGCTGTGCTCCCCTGCTCTAAGGCTCCTGGACTTTATTAATCTGCTCTTGCCTCCTCAGTCCTCGCAGGCGAGGGGTTAAACCCATCCCCACTAATGAAGAACACAAGGAACATGCTCCTGACAATCCCATTCCATGGAAAAAAAGGGAAAAAAGAGTAAAAAAAAAGGTTCCTGCGTTTGTCCTCAGTAAAATACGAAATATGAATCAGGGAAGCAAATAGAGAGATGAGTTTCACTTAAGTGCTCCAGCCTCGTTTTTATCTTAAATACCCTAATAATAGCGGATTACACAATATATTTGAGATGTGATCACATGTTTTATGGAATGGTATCTCTCTGAGGGCAGCAAAGTGCCTCTCCTCCCCCTCCACACCCTTCCTCAACTCCCAAAAAGGTCCCATTTGCTTCTTTTCGAAAACAAGACTTATTTTTGTTTATTATTCCCCATTTCTTTGACGTCTGTCTGCAATAAACTGCACTTTTTAATGTCCTTTTTGCATAATAAAATAACACCAAACAACGCTAGAGCAGCTGGATTTTCCAGATGGCTCCTTTTCCAAGGACTGCAAGCTGGAAGAAGCTCCCGTGCGGTGCCAGACTCAGGGATTTTCCCCACGATTCCCCCAGGATATCCCTGCACGAGCACCTCCACGCTTTTCACCCCTGCACACCAAAGCTGCAGTGACCCCCAAGCCCCAGGCCCTCTGCACATCGTGGATTTAAACTCCAGCTCCAGGATAAGAGCTGGAAACCCGGGTTTTTTTTAGGAATCAAGGAAACCCTGGAGAACCCAAAGCCATGGAGAGCAGCACCCGTTGCCTGTGCAAAGCCCACCCTGGGTCTCCCCTCGCTGCATCACTCCTGATACCCAAACCAGAGGATCTCCCTCCTGCTCCCAGCCCAGGGATGTGACTCCCCCATCACCCCACTGCCCCCGTTTCCTGCCCAGCCTTCCTCTGACAGGAATCCCGGGGGGCCTGGCATGGCAGGAGGGGCCAGCGGGGCCCTCTGGAGCCCGGCAGTGCCAGAGGTCCCACCACGTTCCCACAGCAACGGCGGGGGGGTCCCGGGCCCTCCCGTGCCCCCGGCCGACCTCTCCCCTGCGCCAACCCCGGCACAAAGCGGGCGGGAGCTATTCAGGCTTTTCAGCCCAATCCCACCATTGAAATCCAGGGATTTACCCCAGAGCCAGCCCCCGGGCTGGGGGAGAGCGAGGGACAGGAGGGGGATGCTCCTTCCCCACCCCATCCCACTCTCCTTTCGGATCTGCCCCTCTTCCTCTCCTGCTCTCCCTTCAGACACTCCGGACCACGGGATGCTCTGCAGTCGCACGGGTAGGGAAGGACAGATGGACAAGGATGATGATGGAACGCTGTGCTCCGTGGGGGAGCAGAGCTGGAACCGAGCTGGGAGCCCCTGTCTCAGCAAACCAGGCTGGTGCTGCCAGACACCCACGGCCTCTTGCTCTGGGGACATCCCAGAAGCCACAAAACAGCCTCGGGGGTCCCTGAGCACCCAATGACACATCCCTCTCCCCTCAAGATCCCACCCAGGGCACCCATCTCCAGCAGCACCCTCAGAGAGGAGCCTGAACCCACAAAGTCCCTGCAAAGAGCTATCTGGGTTCACCCCTTGAAGGGGGTGAAAGCAGAGGGGCCACAGGCACTGGAAAAGGTCCAAACCGGACAAAAATCGAGGGCAGAGCACGAGCCTCCAGGAGCAGCATCGCCCAAACAAACCCCCACCCCTCCAGGCTTCCAAAGGTTTCTTGGGCATTTCATAAAGTTCAGTAAGAATAAGGATTGAGT